GTTGAAACTTTAGTCTTGTTCCACAGCTTGAGCTTTGCATGAACATCCATTTTACAGCTCTGGCCTATTTGTGTGCAGATTGTTGGTTCCTCACCTCTCAGGCAGATCAACTCTGACTTCGAAGGAATCACTCCTAACTAGTCTACTTTTCCAACATACTTTTTAGGGGTGAATGGGTCTATTCTTCTCTAGCCAATTTTGTCACCAAAGTGTTCTAATTTTGCGTTATTTATTTTACTTTTTATCCATGGATGAGGCATGTGCACATGTGGATTGGCACCTGAGACAACAGATCATGTCCTCCAAGACTGTCCCAAATACAACATATCAAGGCAAAACTTTTGGCCAAGAGAAACATCGGTGCAAATCAAACTTTACGGGTCGCTGAGTGAATTACAAAAGACAGTGAAGTTCATACAAGAGACTACATTGCAGATATAGATAATTTATTTTAAGCGAACAAAAGAAGAAGAAGAATTTTACTGTTTTATGGGTAAAAACTCCTAGCCTTATCGGAGATTGGACCTTGGGCCACCAGGCTGGTAAAACTAGCCAGACAAAAGTACACTGGGGTTGATTATGCAGCATGTTGTGCAGCATCCTGTGAAAGATATGCAACTTCCTTGACCTATTTGGACATACAATACTTTTGCTCTGTCCACAGATGTTCTTATGAAGCTACGCAAAGTAGTCACTTAAAGCGACATATGGAGACTCACGATGTCCTGAAGCGATTTATCTGCAAGCACTGTGACTTCTCTGCCAACACACTGGGCTACATCAAAATACACTACGCTAAACATCACAAGGTAGGAATTTCTAACACCGCCTGTCTCACTCTGAAGGTCTGTTGTCCTTTGTAAACCTGTACCTACCAGTCACTACTCATTTATCGTTTAATCTCAGATAACTGCATGAGTACCTGATCAAGTTAGCAGCCCATCTATAGTTTCTTCTATTACCATGCCACTTTTGTGTTGTTCCCTTTTATTACTGTATTTTATTGTCAAAGTGAAGAGTCATTGGTTAGTTGTTGCATCTGTTGCTATTCTTCATGCCAAACTAAAGGTGATCTTTGACTGATTGATTTATCAGTTGTCATGGTTGATGCCAAACTAAAGATGATCTTTGACTCATTGATTTATCAGTTGTCATGGTTGATGCCAAACTAAAGGTGATCTTTGACTCATTGATTTATCAGTTGTCATGGTTGATGCCAAACTAAAGATGATCTTTGACTAATTGATTTGTCAGTTGTTATGGTTGATGCCAAACTAAAAGTGATCTTTGACTAATTGATTTATCAGTTATCATGGTTGATGCCAAATTAAAGGTGATCTTTGACTAATTGTTTTATCAGTTGTCATGGTTGATGCCAAACTAAAAGTATTAGACTAGTTGTTGTATCACTTATAATTTCAGATTAGCATTTCATTGCACTATAGATCATCACCGAATTCATTATTTAGCTGTAATTTTCTCAAACCTTTGTATGTGTCAAATTTTTAATATAAAATTTAATGCATTTCAAACACCTAGTAGCAGTGCCTGAAAGTCTGTCGCTGAAAATTATGGAGTGAAAGAGAAGGACGTCTAGGGAACAACTATCACTCAAAGAGGCAAGAACACTGGGATGCATCTTATGTCATGAAAAGCTGTTGCTGAAAATCTTCTTCTTCTTCTTCTTTCTTTTGTCAATATCTGCTGGTGTTTCTGTTCATTAGATGATCTGCAGCAGAGCCAGGGCGCACTCAGTCACTTGATATGCCGTGATGTTATGCAGTCTCAAGGTGTCAGTGACTTCTTCTATCCATATTTTTCTTGGTCTTCCCCTGCCTCTTAGAGTTTAGATTTCAGGTTGTACACTCTTGCTGCTGGCATCATTGGTTTCATTCTCATTAGGTGGCCAAACCTTTTTTTCTTTGTTTCTCAATAAATTTGACGATGGGTGTTCCAACAGTTCTTGTAATCACGTTTTTTTCTCACTCGATCTCTTATAGTTTTATTCACAGCCATTCTTAAACATCTCATCTCACAGGTGGTTAATCTTTCATGTTCTTCTGTCAATGTCCAAGTCTGACATTGGTAACCTAAAGTCGGTGTAAATATTTTATTTATAATTTATCTTTTTTGTCTCTATTGGGATAGCAGAGTGTTTTTAAATTGGAGCTAGTTGGTACGTGACATTGTTGGCTTCTCATTTCTATCTCTCTGTCTATTTTACCATTGTATTTAAAGATGTTTCCCAAGTAATAAAATTCTTGCACTTGTTTCAGACTTTGATCTTTATGCCGCTGGTTTGTTGCTCTCTACTAATTCTCATGACTTCTGTTTTTTCATTTTTGATCTTCATGTGATGTTTAAGGCAACTGTTGTGTAGTTGGTTTATGTGGTCCTGCAGCTGTTTACTTTTACTGTGGAATATGCACTGATCTTCGGCAAAGAGCAGCTCATTGAAGTCCTCCTGTTTATCTACAGCTGGTGGTGTTATTTCTATTCT